CTAGTCTAATGGGACAATGTCAAATTTAACGCACCCTCTGAGGCGGCCGAGAAATAGCGCCGCAGAATGGGCAGAAATGCATTAGGCGGCTTATTGTGCACTGTAAAAAGCAAAATTAAAAAATTCATAAAAAAAAAAATTCTACAGTAAAAACTGCTCAAATTGTGGATTTCGTTAGAGTAGGAGCTCTAGTCTAATGGGACAATGTCAAATTTAACGCACCCTCTGAGGCAGCCGAGAAACAGCGCCGCAGATTGGGCAGAAAATGCATTAGGCGGCTTATTGTGCACTGTAAAAAGCAAAATTCAAAAATTCATTAAAATAAAATTCTACAGTAAAAACTGCTCAAAATTTGGATTTCGTTAGAGTAGTAGCTCTACTCTATTGGGACTTTGTCAAATTTAACGCACCCTCTGAGGCGGCCGAGAAACAGCGCCACGAAATGGGCAGAAAATGCATTAGGCAGCTTATTGTGCACTGTCTAAAGTGCAAAATTAAAAAAATCATTAAAAAAAAATTCTACAGTAAAAACTGCTCAAATTGTGGATTACGTCAGAGTAGGAGCTCTAGTCTAATGGGACTTTGTCAAATTTAACGCACCCTCTGAGACGGCCGAGAAACAGCGCCACGAAATGGGCAGAAAATGCATTAGGCAGCTTATTGTGCACTGTCTAAAGTGCAAAATTCAAAAATTCATTAAAAAAAAATTCTACAGTAAAAACTGCTCAAAATGTGGATTACGTCAGAGTAGGAGCTCTAGTCTAATGGGACAATGTCAAATTTAACGCACCCTCTGAGGCGGCCGAGAAACAGCGCCGCAGAATGGGCAGAAATGCATTAGGCGGCTTATTGTGCACTGTAAAAAGCAAAATTAAAAAATTCATTAAAAAAAATTTTCTACAGTAAAAACTGCTCAAATTGTGGATTTCGTTAGAGTAGGAGCTCTAGTCTAATGGGACAATGTCAAATTTAACGCACCCTCTGAGGCAGCCGAGAAACAGCGCCGCAGATTGGGCAGAAAATGCATTAGGCGGCTTATTGTGCACTGTAAAAAGCAAAATTCAAAAATTCATAAAAAAAAAATTTCTACAGTAAAAACTGCTCAAATTGTGGATTTCGTTAGAGTAGGAGCTCTAGTCTAATGGGACAATGTCAAATTTAACGCACCCTCTGAGGCGGCCGAGAAACAGCGCCACGAAATGGGCAGAAAATGCATTTAGCAGCTTATTGTGCACTGTCTTAAGTGCAAAATTCAAAAATTCATTAAAAAAAAATTCTACAGTAAAAACTGCTCAAAATGTGGATTTCGTCAGAGTAGGAGCTCTAGTCTAATGGGACAATGTCAAATTTAACGCACCCTCTGAGGCAGCCGAGAAACAGCGCCGCAGATTGGGCAGAAAATGCATTAGGCGGCTTATTGTGCACTGTAAAAAGCAAAATTCAAAAATTCATTAAAAAAAAAATCTACAGTAAAAACTGCTCAAAATTTGGATTTCGTTAGAGTAGGAGCTCTAGTCTAATGGGACTTTGTCAAATTTAACGCACCCTCTGAGGCGGCCGAGAAACAGCGCCACGAAATGGGCAGAAAATGCATTAGGCAGCTTATTGTGCACTGTCTTAAGTGCAAAATTCAAAAATTCATTAAAAAAAAAATCTACAGTAAAAACTGCTCAAATTGTGGATTTCGTTAGAGTAGGAGCTCTAGTCTAATGGGACAATGTCAAATTTAACGCACCCTCTGAGGCAGCCGAGAAACAGCGCCGCAGATTGGGCAGAAAATGCATTAGGCGGCTTATTGTGCACTGTAAAAAGCAAAATTCAAAAATTCATTAAAATAAAATTCTACAGTAAAAACTGCTCAAAATTTGGATTTCGCTAGAGTAGTAGCTCTACTCTATTGGGACTTTGTCAAATTTAACGCACCCTCTGAGGCGGCCGAGAAACAGCGCCACGAAATGGGCAGAAAATGCATTAGGCGGCTTATTGTGCACTGTCTAAAGTGCAAAATTAAAAAAATTCCATCAAATACAGCTAAGATATAGAGCCCCCAATCGAGCCAACAATGCAATGGCTTTTTATACAGTAAAACGTGAAATTGTGCATGATTATATTCAAGCAGATACAGGGTAAAACTTCAGTAAAACCAAATAGGCCAACAATGTGATAACTCTTCTGTATTTTGTCAGATTGGGTCCATATCTTTCTAATGTACAGTAACCATGCAATGGCACTTTCAAGTCAATGCAATTGAATTTAATTCATACAGTCATTTGTATAACCCTTTTCACAATACATATAATTTCAAGGCAGCTTTACAGAAAATGCAGGTTTCTATGCTACAAAACCACAATAGGATTTAATGAGATGATATCAGAAAGTACAGTTATAAGATACCACAAATTATAGTATTTACAAATATCATATATGCATCTAAGCAAAATTAATGTGTTAAAGCAATTATAAATAGATCATTTTGTATAATCATTCATGTTTGATGTTCTGGAGTCCTTGCAAGGGTATAGGTTTCATCTATTCAAATGTGCTGGGTCATCTGAAGTCTTCATAAGAGGCTGGATCCAAGCTGGAGCATAATCTCAGTACCTTGTGAAATTCTAATTTGTAATAATAATAATAACAATAAAAAAAAACATGTATTGAATACATTCAAATGATGTTATTTGCAATAATTAAAGAATAATGTAGGCCTAATTATATTTTTACAGACATTTATGTGTTATTATTATTTATTTACCTTTCAAAATACTTTATTATTCTTTTCTGGAAAAATATAAACAATACAAACAGGGTCTCTAATAAGTGTGAATAAGTGAAAAACCACACGGTCCCTAAATTGAGCTGATGACATACAATAATTAAAGAATAATGTAGCCTAATTATATTTATGTGCTTTAATAATATTTGTACAGTCCATTTTCGCTGATATATCAGTGTTATTTGCTTTTAAACTTTTTTATTATCATTTTATTCGGAATATAGACCCAAAAGTAACACAATCCCTTTAAAAACGCGAAAAAGAGAAAACCGCACGGTCCCTAAGTTGAGCGTCAATAAGAAGCCAGCAAACGCGGAAGTTCGCGTCATTTAAGGTGGAACGGATAGCGTCAATAAGAAGCTGCGAATAAGAAGCTGGATTCAGCCTCGTCTTGAATTCAGTGAGTAAAAAAGGCGAAGCAGCATGTGTTAGCTAACACTGTAAGTTAATCTAGACTAGCAGCATGGTTGTCGAATCAAACAAAACATCATTATGTTTAGTTAGAAAACAACACAAGTTATACTGATCAGTCTTTCTTGTTGTAAAGATTTTGCTAACGTTACCATTCCCACGTGGGCGGGAGAATTGTCCTTCAGGATTTGGTTACGTAAGTTAGTTAATTATTCGACTGACCAATACTATCTTAAACCACATACTGTAGTACTCACACTTGCATAAACATACGTAAATATAGTTAAAAGAAGAAAAGAAAAAACTAACGCCAGGAAGAAACTAAGTAACGTTAGCTATGTCAGAAACATGACGAAAACTTTGTAAACAAGGCTAACTTACTAGCTTGACTAGTAAGGCAAGAACATATTTGAAAAAGCTGAACTAAAAATGTAAAAAATGAACATAATATTGCGTTACACAAAAAGGAAAAATGTACTTACTTTAAAGATCGTAGTCAATGACTAGATAGGATATCCTCTCCAAATACTGAAATCGTGTGACGAGTGGCCACTGTTGTGTTGGTAAATCTGCTTCCGTTTTTTAGGTACTGCCCCTCTCGGCCGGTGGAGGTACTTCTCTGTTTGTGCTTTAATACTTTCTTAAACATTTGTACAGATTGCAAAACTCGCAATTGCAAATTAATCCCTTACCTGTAAAAGGTAAAATAAAAATAAAAAAATCGAGCTTGTAAAAAAATGAAAGACATAAACGAAATTTCCTGGGGTGACAGAGAGACTAAATATTTCTAAATATTTCACTTTATCTTTCAGGTCAAAACAGGGATTTTCATGTTTATTATAAATATTAGGCTACCATGGTTGCAAATTAATAAAAAAAATCTAAAGCATACCCAAGCTTTTGGCCAAGTTGCAGATGTCTTTCACTGTTTTCAGGCATTGGTGAAAAGTCTAACTTCATCCATTTATTCTGCTAAATTGTTCATATCATGAATGAAATATTTATTTTAAAACCTAATCAGAATCAGAAAGATATTTATTGCCAAGTAAGTTTTACAAAAGGAATTCTTTTTGGACTATTTGTGCATCTCAATTGTGCATAAATCAAAGAAATGTAAAGAATTGTAACCTTAAGTGAATAAAATAATTCTATATATTTTACATAGGCCTATCACTGAATCGCTTCAGAGTTTCAACGTAATTTAAATGTATTTTCCTAAACCTTATCATGGAATCAGACTGAGTCAAATCTGTTATAAACCCTAATGACTTTGGAGCAACAACAATAACAAAATTTGATATAATTCACATAATAATTATAATTGCTTTAAATGTGAAAGTTAAAATTCTGTCAGTTCCACTCATGCCAATGACATGGCTGGTCGATTTCAATGCGGCTTGCCGCCAGCCGGCCGCGGTTCATTTAGACGGCGGCAACCGCCAGAGAGAATGAAGTCGGCGGCCCGGCGGCTGTTCGCCGGCGGCATCTCGCAAGAAATGGGAGTGACGTATTCGGCGGCAAACGTTTCATCTCCGCCAGCGGGGCGCACCTATAGCCGACAGTTTGGGGCCGGCGGCAAAAAGAAGCCGTGCCGATATTTTTTGCTATCTGGGCAACTGTAACCTTGAGAGTGGATATTAATTCACATGTGCAATGCAAAAGGCAATTAATGTGCCGGATAGTGCAGTTTATCCCATCAATTAAGTTAGATGATTGTTTGTTTTATTAAAATACATTTAGAGATCAGTGCAATCCCCACACATTTGCTGACGAACAGCCAAACATGTTCATTCTCGTGTTTGTATAGGCTACTTACCCAAAAGGGAGCCGATGAGGATGAAAACTTGAATGGTGGTGGTGAAATCTTTGTAGGCTCTATCCTGCACATACAGGATCTCCTCCAGCCGGGTCACCTCTTTATCCTGAGCATCACCCCACAGACCCACCGGAGACGACGCGTTTGGGAAACCCAGGTTCGAGGCGTTTAAACTTGTGTTTCCGTTTTCTGACAGAGGAAACCATCTCTCCGCGTTTTCCGCCTCCATCATTCATATCCGAGGCGCCACTATAATTCTTCGGCTCTCCGCGCGCACGTTATTGGTGAATAGAGCTTGACCGTTATGATCGTATCCATCATGATTAACACGCGAGTTTTCTACAGTTTCTCCAAATTATCGAAAACGTGAAATATTTATAAAAAAAAAACGCTGAACGGAGATCTTTCCCGAGCATTATCCCGGATAGGATTGCATATTTGGTTAAATTTGCAATACGTAGCCTAGTTGTCTTGTTGCTAAACTACCTTTTGAGAATCGCGATATTGAAAGGAATATTTCACATATAAAAAGGCATGATTTCGTTTTCACAGCACAGATCACGATAAGAACACAGTGATGGAGCGATACGGTAGTGACGGCGACATTCACGCGCTTGTCTCACGCCACATCACTCAGCTTAATTCATTTCACTAGCCAATAGACGAACATTACGAGTTAAATGCAATATTTCTCGAGCGCTGGGTTATTGAAATATGTAAACGTCTGCAAATAATGATGTCTAAACAGTGTATGATAAGCCTTAGACAATACGATAGAGAAATAACATACCCGTATGAGATCGTTATGAATGATCAGCCAAATCCAAGAGTCAAAAAAAGAAAAGATTTTGATAAACGCATATCACGTTAAATTCGTGACAGTGTGTGATCTGACTACTGGGTTTTTAGCGAGCAGGCTTCAGAGTGACAATAGCGCTTTATTTCTTCAAATGAAAGGTGGGCGCTTACAATAAAACGTCACCGTATCCGTCCGTTACGGCGTCTTCTAGATGCGCGTGAGGATTTGAACGAGAGGTATTGAGCTTTTTTTAATTTATTTTTTATTTAGGTATTGAGCTTGTATTTGGCGAGATACTGATGCAGACATAACCTGCACACGAACAAAGTAATGTAGGCTGTTAGGATATTAACAGAATCCTCGGAACAGATACGGTATTTGAAGAGTTTTCCTTATTTGTGAATAATAAATAATTAATCCAGTGAGCAAAACAATCCACAACATATCCACAAATGATTCTTTGCGGTGTCAACTGAGTGTGCAAACTTTGAAAACAGCAGCCTATAGGCTACTCACACTGCATTGAATTTGTCTACGTGTTGCTTTGGTTTGTTTGTTTCTATAATAGGAAGGTCAGTGTTCCTGTTCCTTATGGTCAGGGGAAATTTTAGACAACCCATGAGGAATCTCTAAAGCCTGCATGAAATAAGACTGTGGCTAGTCGTCACACGAGGATGTTGTCACAAGAGTTAGGCTATATACCCAAGTAACTAAGTTTCCGAGTAAACATTCTAGTCATGTCTTTTTTTTTCGCAGTGTTTTTGGATGTAGGTTTCAAACACCTTATCTTAAATATGCCTTGTGAATTCTACATCCAATACAACCGTGCTGTAGGCAATAAACTATTTAAAATCATTCAAAATAAAATCAAAGTTTTCTATATAGGATATCATCTGTGATAGATTGTAAAAAATATTTTTGTAGGCTGGTTTAGTAAGCCTTTTCTTCACCCTATAGCTTAATATTTAAGACCCATTTTCTCCTCCTAAATCTATGTCAATCTGAATCAAATCTGATTTAAGACTTTATATTTTATTTCCCTTAAGTGATTGTGATTTATGGATATATATACTGCAATCTGCTATATTATTCTCAGCACTAGCAGCATCTGCTGCTTAGAAAAAGGGTCTTTACTATGCTAATATATCCTAACATTGTCCAGTGACTAAGACAAGTAAATCATTATATAAAAATAGTTCATAAATGGAGCAAAAGACCTCTGTAACTCTCACAAAATGCAGGCCAGAAAACACAGCTAGCAACCGATTATCATCTATTCATTACCATAATAAAGATGTTGTTGTAGAGCTTATACTGCCATCCAAATCAGTAATTATTGGTGTATGGAATAGGCTGGAAAACATTCTTTAAATGTTTTCAACATCCGTTTTAGAAACCAAATGATGTTTCTGAAAAACAACAAAGTTAATATAACACAATCAATTCATGAGAATGCCATGCACTGCACGTTATAGTAACAGCTCCTCTATAAATATAAAAGGGACCCTTTCCAGTTAATCAACATGTAAGAACTCTTCAGAGCTTCCACTTAAGTAGTGTGGGTTAAATAACAAGGCCTGCTAGAGTGTTTCCTTGTCATAGTGCTCTCTAAAAGATTTGCAATAAGTGCCACTGGAGATTTGCACAGAGATCTCATCCATTTACATGTTTAAAATAAATAAAAATAAATCTGAAAGTAACCAATCCTCAGCATTCATCCAGTGAGATTGGCTTTGATGTATTGACACATGTAGAATGAATCATGTCAGTTATACTGCAATAAACTTGAAAGGGATAGTTCTCCTAAAAAGAAATAAATTCTGTCATAATTAACTCACCATCATGTTGTTCTAACCCTGTCTGACTCCATTTCTTCTCTGACACACACACACAAAATACATATTGTAAACCCCTTTCACTTTAATTGTGAGGATGAAAAATGGTTGAAACTTTCTTCAAAATCATCTTGATGGTGAGGAGTAAATGAAAGTATTTTCATTTATGATTGAACTATCTATTTAAATATCGTGTTGCTAAACAATTTTTAGTATTGTTGTGGCACAGAAAGATTATTTTGAATTATTGGCTTCCTAATGTGGATGCAGCTCATTCCATCGACCAACACTTTAGGATCCAAATCAAAATAATGTAAATCAGACACAGATATGAGGTCACCTCCTAGAATCAGCATTAGAAATTAATCAAAAGTTATAAAATAATTACTAAGAATAATTAATAATAGAACATAAAAAAGACATCATCTCAAGATATTTAATTGTACTTCATTGGAAGCTCTAGTATGTGTAAGGTGCATACAGTCACTCGTAACCAATGCCCATGGTTGCATATCTCATCAGTGTCTGTACCCTGATGGAATATTTATCTAGACATAAACATTCACTAGGAAAGACAATACTGAAGAGGAAAACAACCTGCTTTTTATCCTCTACTAAGGCTGAAGATGTAATCAAGGGTTCTTTGAAATGAAGGCACCAGGGGCTGTACAATAAAATGGACCTAGTATGGAGATACTAACAGAGAGAATGCAAAAACAAGAATGCAGATCAACAGCACCAGTAAAGTGAGTATTAGTTACAATATGATTTTAAATGACTTGAAATAATTAAGTTCTAATTAAAAAATGTGGCATAGCAGTGAAAGTTCATTACCGTTCAGAAGATTGTTTTTTGAAAACAAGAAAATAATATTTTTGTTCAGTAAGGATGGTTTAAATAGTGACAGTAACAAATTTAATTGCTACAAAAACCAGCATAATTGTTTTCATTCAACATTGATAATATTAAGAAATGTTTCTCGGGCATCATACTTTGTATGAATGATATAAACATCAATAGATTTAGAAGCATATCATCAACCATTATGCAAGTCAACATTAATGCAAGTAAACATTATAACTGGATGTCATGACTACTATTATGTACTGTAAATGCCCTTTTTCTTACAGCATAGATCTGCAGTTGTGATCAGCAGCCGCCAAGTGTTTTTTGAAAAAACTCACAATCCTCAGCCATGCGTCACACTGTGCTTCTGAATGAGCCTTGGGTTCCCCGCCAAAGAAAACCACATGGTTAGCTGCAGCATGAAAATTAGCGAGACAAAAGGGCATGTAAGGCACCTCAATAAAGTGACCCGCTTTTTCATACCTCACCAGCTCGTAGTTATTTTTCCCATGTGCTTTGAGTCTGTCGCATGCAAGTTTTGCATAATAGGCACTTTGCCAATTCCTGTCAGCTTCTGACATTATAAACATGAATTTACCAGAGGCACGCTCAATGGGAATAACGCTAGGAAGGCCTTCTTTGGACATCGGGTCGTTCATGCAATCCCCAATATCCAAAAGGCCTGACGGTGTCATTTTTAATTTCTTTACGTCGAACATGAGGGGTGGAATATAGATGTCTTTGTAGTAGATCGGGACCAAAGTATTGGCATTGCATCCATTGATACAAATAGTGGCCGATATACCAGGCAGGAACGTTGCCAATGACAAAGCGAGATCTCCACTCTTTGATATGGACACTAGGCCAATTTTTTGATCTTTGACCTTTGAAAAAAAGAAGAAGAAAAAAAAGAGGTGTTGGAATTGAATTTGTGATTCTTTTAAACCCGTCTTTGTAATTAGCTTCATTTTATTTAGAGATTATAAGAACAATAAGGAATGTGCATGAATGGTTATACATACTAACCTCTGGCTGTTGTCGCAAGAAATCTATACCTTCTTCAAAATACTCGAGGTGAAATTTGTCAGCTTTTTTGGGTATATCTTGGTAACCTTGGAAAGCAAAGGCTAAAACAGCAAATCCTCTTTTTGCCAGCAGAGCTGCCCTCAATTCAAATGGACCTGCTCCAAACACATTGGTATCCAAAATACCAGGAAATGGTCCTTTACCTGAAAAGTTAGAAAATCAGCATTAAAAACTTCATTTGACAGGCTTGATTAAAATAATAATGGCCAGCATGAATTTGTGATTGACAATAGAAGACCTTTTCAATAGTCAAGCAATAGTGTTACACTGCACTTCTCCGTTTTCACCACAAGGCGCTGCTACAAAACAGAATATGGCCAAAAACTTTCGCATCTCAGTCGACTGAGTTCATCCGAATCATTTAAATATGTTTTAAATACAAGTAATACTGCGGCCTCCTGGTTGAAAACCAATGCTATATGGAGTGCTTTACAAACTAATCTTTAAGACAGTATACTACAGCTAAAATAACTGACCAGGTGGCATAAAAAGAGTTCCTCTGATCCTGCCTTCAGTTACAGGAATTCTCCGGAGACCATCGGCCATGCAGTGTCTCTCGTTTGTAACTTCAGCGATGACTTTATCGTCACTGACACATTCAAGGTCAACGAGTTGAGTGCGCGTCACGTCTGTTAGTGCAAATTTGTAGTGATGTGTCGTTCATGAACGATTCGTTCATTTTGAACGAATCTTTAATATGACTCGGGACTACCGAGTTGTCTCAGAGAGTGATTCGTTCATTTTGTGTTGATCGCGCATGCGCATTGCGCAACAGATGGTTTCTGAATCTGTACTGGAAATGATTAGTTCATCTCTCTCGAGTTCGGGTTCGGGCCGGGTCCGAGTCTTTCGTTCTTCCTGTCAGTCCCATAGAGGCTATGCTGTCAGTACCGGAAAGAGTAATGATTAGTTCATCTTTCGAGTCTCGAGTTCGGGTTCGGCCGGGTCCGAGTCTTTCGTTCTTCCTGTCAGTCCCATAGAGGCTATGCTGTCAGTACCGGAAAGAGTAATGATTAGTTCATCTTCTGAGTCTTCGGGTTTGAGTCCTTCGTTCTTTTGTCACGTGACTTGTAACCTTTTTACAAACAAGCACGTAGTTAATGTATAATATAATAGTAGTTAATTAATGTATAATATATAATAAAACACACCACAGATGCACAAGAAACATTTAAAGAAACGGACAGGGACAATAATAAGATGGAACTTTTATTTTTCAGATAATGTTTATTTCACATATTTTGTATTTTAATTCCTAAATATAAAACAATATACATTCAGACGCAGTCAATAATACGAATCTAATATTGTATTTGATGCGAGATACCAGCGGTCACGTGACAAAAGAACGAAGGACTCAAACCCGAAGACTCGAAGAAAATGAACTAATCATTACTCTTTCCGGTACTGACAGCATAGCCTCTATGGGACTGACAGGAAGAACGAAAGACTCGGACCCGGCCGAACCCGAACTCGAGACTCGAAAGATGAACTAATCATTACTCTTTCCGGCCCTGCTGTATCACACACGGCACGGCCCAGCAGACAGATCAGAGTCAGACACTGACGAGTCGACAACTAACGTTTTGAGACACAAAAGGAGGAGAACAAACCTGATAAATATGAAGTTGCAAAGGAAAGAACGTCTCGGATGAGGAGGTGAGGTGAACTAACAGAATCAGACTGCAATAGCCTGAACTTAAAACCCAACAACTAATCAATTCATAAAAATTTCGGTTTCTTATAATTTGGCTTTGGCTGCATTACCCTATAATTTATTTTTATTCTTTTTACAAATGTAATCAACATTTTCGTAAGTTCTAGATGTGTTGGGATATTTAACATGCCATTTTAATTATATTATGCTGAAATGAACGAAATGACTCGAAAAAAGATTCGTTCATTTTGCTGAACGAGACTCAAAGATCCGAGTCAGTAAAATGATCCGAACTTCCCACTACTACAAATTTGCAGCTTACGACGTCTGCTTTTAGTGCCCAGAATAAACCCATTGGTTCAACCCCGGTAAAGCTGCCACCAAGAGAAGAGTCGCGGTTCAGGTCAACTTCACCACTGTTGTCTGCTTGGTAGGTGGCAGAAGCCTTGAAAACAAGTCCCTTTGCATCGGTGATTTTAGAGCGCAGAACCACGCGTTGTTGTGGATTTAAGCCACTCACAGTCACGTGCACGGGGTCTTCAAAAGAGCACTTATTACTGGGCAAAAGCCTAATGCTGACCCCCGAACTGTAGTGCATTTTTGCCAGAGTATTTCTAGCGAAAGGGGTAACTGCAAACTTCAGCACTGAAGACATGTCGTGTCGTCAGTGATTCTTCTTCTGGTGTTTATCGGCGGTGGTCAAACCAACTTAAATGTTGCATTCCCGCCACCTACTGGAGAGGAGTGTGGAGCGCATAATGTAATGGTTGGGAAGTTGGTAAACAATCAGACGAATGAAAATGGGATGGGACTGGGGGGTTAATACAACGATATCTTAAATTCGATTGATCAGTCTTGTTTCTTTTAAGAAAATAATTAAATAAATAAAAATTAAGAAATAATTCATGAAATATTCTTGATTGTTTTGGGCCATTTCCTAACAGAACCAAGTGACAAATTATTTATTGCCAAAGATCTTAAAACTTGAATTAGTTGAAATCTTGCTCTTTCATATGCATCACACTCTATAAGTACGGGTTCTACTGATTCTGCTTGACCACATTTGTCTCAGTTTCCAGTTTCATGCTTCCCCATTCTATGTAGACACAGTGATTTAACGAGCAATGTCCAATATGCATTCTTGAGATTAAAACGTCTTCTTTCCTGTTGCCAAATTTTCTTCTTTAGACCTATTTTTTTCTTGGATGTGATGAAAGTGTCTACCTATTGTTCAACTAGGGGAGAGCGGGGCACAAAGTAACGCTTTTTGACTTTCTCAGTTTGTGTAAATCTACTTAGGGTTTAGAGTATTTATTTTTCCCACATTAATTTACCACATGTCTAGTACAATTATGTGGTTTTGTTTTATTAATACAGTGTATACTTTTTCTAAATTTACCCCGAAAGAACGGAAGTGAAAGGTGACAACATGCCCCATGGTACATTGTAACATGTGAGGGGCGCATTGTAACATCACCATATGACAGCTTAAAATGCTATCTGATCTAATCAAAAAAATATACAAGTCAAACCAAAATATTTTCTTAATAAAATACAATTATTAACTTTTTCATATAAAATAATGGCATTTTTTAATAATTAAAAATTAACTAATTTTTGAGTTTGACAACAAACACACTGGAAAACACTGCTATACAGCATAGTTCAAAACAAAATAATAATTAATCATTTCTGAACATTGACTCTCAGTCTTTATTTACATGTTTCTCATGTTTTCTCAATATAGTTCATAAAAGTATAGAATATAATAGCATATTTCTAATAGGGGCACATTGTAATGCATGCCCCAACTGCACAACTGGGGTTTAAACCCTGCTAGTGTCTTCTGCTAGTTAGCGAAGCAAGAACTATATCAACTGTTAAACAACAGATAAAATATTAAAATAAAATAAATATCAGATTTGTCTAATTTTAAATAAACACAAAAAATAGAGATGAAAAATTAACTTATGCAAGAAATGTACTTTTGCTAGGTTAAATAAATGTTCAGTGATATCTTACAAAGATTTCTGAATTTTGGTGCATTTTTTTCTCTATATAGTGTTGAAATGGCAACTAGTAAATACACCAAGTTTCGTCATGCTGGCATGTGTGGAAGTATTTAAAACAAGTCTGTTACAACTAGCCCCGCGTTACGTTGTGCCCTGCGTTGTGCCATTTCTTTCTTATTTAATTTGCTATTAACCCTTTTACTTCTGCTTTACTCTTTGACACTTTAATGTCAATTTGTAAATGTTTTAAAGCCTGTTTAGCCAGATGGTCTGCCTCTTCATTTACTTTCACACCCTATGTGATGGTACCCACAAGAGGTTTACTCTAAGTCCAGATTGTCTTATTCTAAATAGACTCTACATCACTTCAACTATTATATCTTGTCTTGCTGTTTATATTCTAACAAGCTATTGAAATCTGAAAGGGAGTGTGTACAAAATGACTGATCTTATTGGTTGTACTTCTGTGTGATTATTACTGCAGTAATGTGTTGTTGCTGCCATAGATATCCATAATAAAGGCTAGATGTCTCGTCCGCGCTGCTGGCCAATGGAGGTCGACGTTCGCACCTGGCGGCCATCTTTTCACAGGCAGCTCGATCACTCGTAGCATTGTGTTTTAATGGTGCATGTTCTTTTTAAATAACCATAACTTGCTCAATTTTCTACCGATTTTCAAACGGTTTGGTTTGTTATAAACGTCAGAGATGTAATTATGACACTGCATACTTATGAATAATAAGTGTAAAAATAAATAATCATCCAGAATTATAGCCACGTTAATAACGTTTGTAAGAAACCAAACCGTTTGTAAATCCGTCAAGATTTCAACGAGATAAGAATATTTGTGTTCGTGCTGATCACTCATCTTGCATCAGGTACCACAGAGCCCGCCAGAAAGCTTGCCTGTGACAAGATGGCCGACGGTGATGACGATAGAGACTCCGCCGTAAGACATCTAGCCTTTATTATGGATATCTATGGTTGCTGCCCTCTTCTTCTTCTTCTTCTTTGTTTATTGGCAGTTGGCAAACCAGCTTTTAGGTGCATTACCGCCACCAATTGAACTGCAATGTGGAACATCAATAGAGGGGTGCAGCCGTGCAGGTATGACATCGATTTGTAGGCCAACTGGCAGTTAACATCACACTGGTTCCCTCGAGAAAAACCAAACCAATAGAATTTTACCATATGCTTTTGGATAAGTGCTAAAAAAGCTCTGTGATCAACAAAAGTTTATGATACTTACACGTTTTGTCTATCAAGATAATTATCACAGATGAACACAACTTTTATGAATTTTGAAGCCTAAATGCAGTCGCCAGAAGTAAAAAGCTAAAGGTAGACTATAAACAAACTACATGACGGTCCCATGGCCACGAATTCAACGTCACCATCAGACAAGGTTCAGACAACTCTTTCAGTTTTTATCTACAAACATTTTCCCAGAACATTTGAGTTAGATTAGTTTGTAAGAGCACAATTATAACCATAATGCTGTAAAAGCCATTTTACTGTCCATGGTAAAAGCGGACTGAGCTGACCTGTTCGTTGTGATGACGTTTAAAGTGTGTATGTCAGGTTATTTTTTTTTTTTTTAGATATATTAAATAAGGTTAAGATGTCTGAGTGAAAATGTAATTATCATTAAAATTATTACTGTAATTGCCCTACAGTAAGCTTTATAGCCATTTCTGTCAAGATCATATTTTTAAAACACAGCTGAGCTGTGACGTCAGAAGAGGGAGACGTGCCAAAAAAGTTCTATTCAAGTATGGAGAGTTTTAAGGAGATCCAAAATCCCCCTCAAACCTACAATGGCCCACAGCAATTTTAAAGCCTCCCAGGCGTGAGATAGATGAGGAGCCAAACAGGAATTTAAATAATTCCTATCGAAGAAACATAAATATCTGGTGTGAAGAGAACCAGTGGAGAGTTGGTCAGGTGTCTTGGTAAGTAGGCTATAGGCATAACTTAGAGATGGAACGGTACATGTATTCGTATTGAACCAAAACGGTACGGGCGTCACAGTTCGGTGCATGAATATACAAGATTGCAATGCTGGAATATGTTGGTGTGTGTGTGTGTGTGTGTGTGTGTGTGTGTGTGTGTGTGTGTGTGTGTGTGTGTGTGTGTGTGTGTGTGTGTGTGTGTGTGTGTGTGTGTGTGTGTGTGTGTGTGTGTGTGAGTGTGAGTGTGAGTGTGAGTGTGAGTGTGAGTGTGAGTGTGAGTGTGAGTGTGAGAGAGAGAGAGAGAGAGAGAGAGAGAGAGAGAGAGAGGAAACATAAAAATTGAAAGAAATGGGCGCTGCAAATGACCGAAGTCTTGGATACCGAAGCAGCACTGAAGTCAGCGCGTTTGGTCTGAACAAAGTTGACCCAGGCACGGAACACAGACCTGCTTTTTGGGAAAAAGTGGACACTGTGACCGGTTTTAACTGTGTTTTTGCACCCAGCACAAACGCAGTAATTCACCATCGTGAAAATACGCCTGCGTACTAACTACCTAACTTAAATAAATAAATGACCGAATCACTAATTCTCTCGCTCTATCACTGGTCACAAAGTCACTTTCTCAGCGACCTGGGGAGACGTCTCCCTCTTATGACGTCAAGCGATTCGTTTGGGGGGAGGAGCAGTTTTAAGTGAGTATTGAAAATACATCAAAAACAATAGGCTACATCAACTTGTCAAACGTGTATTTCCCCTAACTATTTTGCGTTAATCATAATTACAAATTTAACCTGACATACACACTTTAATCTCCTCGACAGCCTCCCATTTAGCCATTTGTTTCATCTTCGGAACACAGTTTAAGATATTTTAGATTTAGTCCGAGAGCTTTCTGTCTGTTCAGACCAAACACCAGATAACACGTCAGCAGCGTCTTACGTCATCAGCGTCACTGAGCGCGGATTGACAACAGAACCGGAAGACAATACAATGCTGAATAAAGTCGTAGTTTTTGTTATTTTTGGACCAAAATGTATTTTCGATGCTTCAAAACATTCTAACTAACCCACTGATGGCACATGGACTACTTTGATGATGTCTGTATTTCCTTTCTGGACAAGGACAGTATACCGTACATACATTTTCAAAGGAGGGACAGAAAGCTTTTGGACTAAATCTAAAATATCTTAAACTGTGTTCCGAAGATGAACGGAGGTCTTACAGAGTTGGAACGACATGAGGGTGAGTCATTAATGGCATAATTTTCATTTTTGGGTGAACTAACCCTTTAAAAAAATTACGAGTGTGATAATATTGGTGTATTTTATGTCATAGAATAATAAAACGTGAAAGTGTTTTGAGCTTGTGTTCACCACAGACCTTCAGCCATTTAACCAAAACCCCATTCAAAAAACCCATTGACTTTGGGAGATGGAACCGGTGTTAAAAGGCTAACTCGTTTCTGCATTTTGGCCTACAAAGTGATGTCATACCTGCACCACTCTATGCGGAGAGGACTACTCTTTCTAAATTAGGGGAAAAAAAGATTCCTTAGTTAATTATATTCTCAAATATAATCTTGTTGCTTTTATATATTGCAACACTTCATCTTTCATACCTTGTTTTCTTGCCAACAGATTTTTTCAATGACATGTCTTGGATTCCTTTTTCCTGCAATTTTACGAGCAACACTCGTCTTTCATTTTCATACAACAATATAATATTACATGTTCAAATGTCTCTTCTACTTTGTTGCTGCGCTCTAGTAATAAATTGAGTTAATTAAATTAACTAAAATCTAAATTAACTAAAATCATCTTTATTATAAATTGTGAAGCCAGAATTACATTTTATTTATGAAAATTAGCAACTCGTAAGCTGTTAGAAGAGAGCAAATGCACTTCCGTGTCAATGACCAGGCAAAATTCGTTTATATTGCAATTATGCTAAACCAGACCCATCTGTGTTAGATCGCATCCCCCTCCTCTTCCAAGTTACAGCTTCTCGTGAACTAGCAGACCTAGTAAGCCCCGCCCCTCTCGCGTACAGTTCGCCATGGTCGTCATGGAGACGGTGTGAGAGCGAGGCCACTGGTGGAGCTCGAAGCCCTTTCCTACTGTTGGGAGGAGGTACTCCGATCTGGCCCCGCTGGCTGGCTGCTCTCAACCTTCTCCGTAGACGGATGTTCATATCGCAAAGGGCCGTCAGAATCTCAGAATATATTCCATACCAGCATATACAGCGTTTACAGTAGCCCTGGGATTTCCATCTATTAGACGCAGCTCCATGGTGACCCAATACTGGTTTTAAAGAGGAGGGCATTCACTGGTAAGATCTGTTTTTCTGGGTTTTTTTTTTTTTTTTTGCGCTGTGAAGGTTAGTTAGCAGAGCTAACACGGTTAGCCACTCGGAGTCTTTAGGGTCTGAATCACTATTTAGCGTAAAAGCTAACATATATCGATAGCCAAATGATTCAATCTATGTACTTAAATATAGAAATAGTAGGTCGGTAAGTTATTGATTGATAGGACTTTAATATTCACATGGGGAGCTATTCCAGCCATTTAATTTAGCTCGCTAGTGAATCCTAATCCAATCAAAAGCACTGTTCCGATCACAGCGAAAGATCGGTTTTGTTAAAGATCATGACGTGTATTTGTTGTTTAAGTTAATCACACTGTCCTTAGGTCATTATCTTGCGAGTTTCAATTGGAAACGTGGCTGTTAATTAGTGTGTCATAACGCGATTACTAAAGTCGCCAGTCCGGCGATGCGGACAAAGCCTGTTGTTAGCCATAGGCTGCCATTTTACTTTACTAGACTGTTAAATATCTGTTGTAAGTGAATTATTAAACGGCTGTTTTTGTTTTCGATACATTGACAAGTATATTTGTCAATGTGTTACAGTATTATTTCGGTCAGCAACGGACCTCGAATATCGTTGTAGTCTTTTGTGCTTGCGTCAACCGGTTTCTTGCGTCGTGTGAATATCTAGGGAGTTTGTCAATATGTAATTATAATATACATTCTGTTTTTGCTACCCGTTGCAAAAAGGACATGTCGAAACATTGGACTCCTACACGCACAAACACATACGCGCACATGCACCAAGTGCTGTACCGTAAACAGTGTTCGCATTACAGGAGGACTTTAAAAACTTGTGTTCGAAAAGTTAGAAACAACCCCAAAGTTTATTATTTTATGAAACTTAATCGCGAACATTAGTGATTCATCTTTTTTTGTTTGTTTGTTTGATTGTATAGGTTAATATTGTTCTGTTCACAGTATTTGGAGAGCAGGGCGCGATCTGTTCTCTTTGTTGTACTTGTTCTGCTCTCGGAACAGTTGCACGTGTCGACGCGTGTGACTTTAAGCCCGCACATACTGGGGCTTATTTAGAACAACTACGTTACCATGTCCCTACGCGCACTTTTTATCTCTCCAAATGCCTGGCCTTTTATTATATTTTTTAATAAAGGTGTGCTGAGTGCTAGTTTTTCCAGTGAGGCGATATAGTAGTGCAAACCAGATTAGTGTCATCTGCCCACGAATAATTGCGTTGTAATTGTCTGTTATCTCTAATTTTCAGCCAGCATGCATTGGTTGTTGCTTTGTTTTTGCACCACTTGTAACCCAACTACAACTTTACTGTGCTTTTTGCAGTAGCATGTCTTGACTTAAATGTGAAGCTTCGTGTTGAAACTTGATCAAGATGTTGTTTCAATATGATATCATGTGGACAAATGTAATTGTTGCTTTGAAAAACTTCCCTGCACAAACTCTTGTTGGATCCCTATGGATGACCACCTCTTCTTCATTGTCTTTCATATGCAAAGGTGTAAATAAAGGAACTGTGTGACTGTGAGCCATAATATACTAAACAAAAGGCCTTTTCTTTAATGTCATGCAACCTGGACCCTTTTTGCCAGATTGAATCTCAATATTCCCAGCTGTATTTATGTCTTTCTCCCTTTCTGTCTCCTATCTTGTACTAAACTCCCTGGAAGGGCTCTGTATTTGGATATTTCTTGCTCAAACCCTTTTATGTTTGAACCTGAAGAAGGCAGCTCTGGTATGATGAAGCAGGAACTGTGGTGCCACGTTATATTTGGCATCTGGCCGGATTTGTTGTTTGCTTCAAAGGAAATTGACTAGTAGTGTGATAGGATTATGGCTTTCTAATGTGGTTAAACTTTACCACAAAGTGGTAAAGAAATGCTTTCAAAAATAAATAATTAAAAATCATATAAAATGGATATTTTAAAGGGATAGCTCCTGTTCCTCATGTTGTTCCAAACCCATAAGATGTTTGTTCTTCTCCTCAAACACAAATTAAGATATTTTTATTAAAACCTGAGGGATTTCGGTTCCTTCATTGAAAGTAATTTCCACTAAAATGTTGATATTTGATGTGCTTTATCTGGTTATGTGCTTTTATTAATGTTTATATGTGAATAAAAGCCTAAATTAAGTCTGTTCGTGTCTAATTTAGACTAAATTAGATCAAAAAGATCCATATGAATCAAGTTTAATCAACTTTTTGATGCATCTTTGTGATGTAGTGGACTTTCAATGGAGGAACAGAAAGTTCTCTCAAGTTTCGTTAAAAAATTTGAATATGAATAAAAGTCTGGGTTTGGAATGAATTTATTTTTGGGTGGACTGACCTTTATATCCACTTAAGAGTTTTTCGCTGCAGTGTGTTACAGTATTATTTCAGTCAGCAACGGTCCTTCTCGAATACCATTGTAGTCTTTTGTGCTTGCGCCGTCAACCGGTTTCTTGCGTCGTGTCAATATCTAGAGAGTTACAATCCGTCAGTAAATCCATTTTTCTCTGCATTTTGTACAAGCTTGGTTCTTCAACAGCTTGTGATACGGTCATTTATCTGTATTTTACAATATTTTCAAGCAGTCGTTGTTGGATATTTGTGTTATTACGATATTACGCTTACTCGGGATGCCATCTGTACAACACCTTAGTCACTTTTACTGAATCCAGGCTGATTTGCTGCTTTCCCACTCTGGGATCCTGTTGGCACTGAGCATTTTGTTGCAGAATGTTCTATTGCACCAGTCTGTTTGGTACACGAGACAGCAGGCGAGCTCTTCTCTGCCAGTGGGATGTGCGTCACACTCCTTGTGCTCCTTGGACACCCTAGTGCTTCTCCCGAGCTATGAGGGGAAAGGTGTGGCGGCGGTGGCAGATTGGCTGTAGCTGCACCCTCAGCATCCTGTTTGTTTCTCAGATTCGAGCACCACATGTTTTTGAACTTAATCTTCCGTGCACACACATGTATCTTCTTTTGGAGGAATGCTGACAAATGGCTTGTGCTTACTTAGCAACACCTGCACCTGCTCTCATTTGTGTGATGGCTGTGCTCTTGTTTTTTCCCTAAGTGCATATTTGCTAATAGGCTAAATATGTAAACGACACCATACCACATGGATTTCCTGCAGCATCTTTTCTGTATTTTGTTGATTTAAAATATCATAAAAACCTTATTCAAAGCAAAAATAATTATATCGTGAATGATATCTTTGTCGTGACATAAAATTACTCATATCGTGTTATAAGATTTTGGTCATATTGCCCACCCCTACATGTGAGTGTGGTAAAGTACCCATAAAGGGTTTGTTGCTACCACTTCTGTTTTGCATTTAATACACCAACTACTGAGCTCCCTGTAGTAATAAGTGTGTGTTTGTGTCATCAGGTTCAGCCGGAGAGGACTCTTGCTGCACAAGCAGTGCTGAAAGATGTGCAATGGAATGGTAGCGTGTGAGACGAGAGCCTCGCTCGCTCACAGGGTGGCCGCCAAATCCCTGCTGCTACTTCTCCTCGGCATGTTCCCCACAGGCCAAGCTTCAGGTAAGATTATTCACAAAAACCTCCTCCAAACTCCTACACCTCGACCTTCCACCGCTGTCCGCTCTCACACTCTTTAAACATTAATATTTAAGATGCCGACAGCTGCCTCATTGATTTATTTCGTAGGAAGTAATCTGTCCTTAGATAATGAAATATGTAAAGTAACTTGCGGGAATGGAGGTTTTTCAATGTATTATATTGAATTTCGGTTTCTGCATAATTATGAGTCACAAATGGTTTACATTGCGGCGGTTTTGTCTGTTGGCATCCATGATTCTTGACGTCAAAGACAAAGGCTTTTGTTCTTTAGTTTTTATCGCTGTCAGTGCTTTGATAACAGAAATAACCGTTGGACTTAAGCTACCGGATTGGAATAAAATGAGCATCATTTCTTTGTTTTCAGTTGAGCGTCTGGGAGGTGTTTGTGGGGGCTGGGCACACACTCACTCTCTTTCTTTCTCTCCACTGAGGGTGTGTGTATATCTGTCGCCCCTGTCCGTGAGAGTCTCATCCAGAGTCTCCCTCACTAAAATACCTCTATATCATGTTCAACATGGCAGATTTGGCCTGAGAACTAAGACAGATGCCCATGACAGGCAGTCGATGTGTTGTTATAAAGACTGAGGTGTGTATGTGTGACCTTAGTCACTTGGGCACTTGTGTGTGTTTTTTTTATAAAGCCTAAGTTATTCTTTAACTCAAAAAGCTCTTTTTTTAGTTTCAACCAAGGGTGCCAATATTTGTCGAGGGCACTGTATATACTAAGTATCGACCCAATCCACCTGAATCGTTATTTGAAATCAAAACCGTTCTCTGTTAATAATTGTAACTGAAGCGTCGTTTGGAGAACTAGTCCAGTCTGAATAGCCTTTAACTCTGTTTCCAAAACCACACGGCATCTGCACTATTTCCCCTTAACAACACGTGAACGTGGCTCAATGAGCAAATAAGTGTCTCTTGCCTTATGTAATATGTGAGTCATTGAGAGCGTTGCATTTGGAGATTGAGGGATGGTGGGATTGGACTGGACCGCTGATCCCATGTGGCCACATTCCCATATTGATTCAGCACCACAAAGTCGAGCCAGGGACAAAAGTGTCCCAAGTGATCCCAAGTAATGTGTGTGTGTATGCATGGATGTATGGCTGCTCACACGTGTTTGGCATGAATCTAGTACATCGGCTGAAAGCTACGTGTTTAGCCTTCCCACAGACCGAGCAGCGGACAGAAGGGAGGATTTTTCAAGGTCATCCGATGAAAGTCTGTTGAAGATATTGTGCCATATTCTTGGCTGCTTTTCCATTCATCCACCCAAATATCCACTTTTGAGATCCACTCATCTCTTCAGTGTTCTTAAAGGTGAAATGTGTAATTTCAGCTAAAAGAAATTTTGAATGTTGAAAGAAATTGTAAATAAAACTAATTATTTAAAGGGGACCTATTATGCAAAATTCGCTTTTACAATGTTTTTGAACTTAATTTTGTTGTTTACACAATCACCATACTGTGGTAAAAATCCATCCACTCTGTTTGTTATTTTCCCCAAAAATCAGAAAAGGTGTCTTAAAATGAGTTGTTCAGGAATGCATCCATTGTGATGTCACAGTGGAACAGGCCCTGTCCACGCCTAGCGACGGAATCGGCCCTATTAGCATAGCTCCTCCCCTGAGTGAGCTGTACACAGTCCGCCATGTTTATCTTCCGCTAAAGCATTTAACTGCAGCATTCAAGTAAGCTATTAAAGCTACAAAAGTTATTCAGTCATATTAGGTTGCTGCCGCTTTAATGCACATCTTTCTAATATAGACAATAGACATGCAATTTCTTTCCCAGCTGTTTACATTCACAGACATAACCGACTGTGTTTATGTAAACTTTGTGTGTATTTGACAGTTTAAGCGCAATAGGATGCGAAAGAGAACTTAGTTTAGTGCTCACGCGACACACAGCATGTGACAGCGGGCTTTCTGTGCTTGTGCTTTGGGTGTGTGCGCTCAGAAAACCGCATATCAGAAGATTAAACTGGTATGGCTGCATGCAAAATAGTGCATGCAAATAGTGATGATGAAGAACTGCATAGTCATGTGAACGCAACCACAATGAAGATAATAGCCAACAACAAACAAAACATCTGTTTTTTTATTGAGTATCAGAGGCATGAGTTGTAAAGGCTCCGTGCTCTTCTGGAAAGGGGGGTGAGGAGCAGCAGCTCATTTGCATTTAAAAATACACTCACGAAAACCGCATGTTTTTGCTTCCACCCAATTTATAGATTGGTAAAATAAATGATACATGGGGTAATAGAGCTGAAACTTCACAGACTCATTCTGGGAAATCCTGAGACTTCTAGTACATCTTGTAAAAATGGACATAATAGGTAAAGTCTTTAGGTCTTAATGGGCGTAAATGCATGAAATTGACCCCTTACAGGAAGTCCTAGACCTTGGATCTGTATTGGTCTGTTGTAGAACATGCTGAAGGAAGCATATAAGGCTTCTGAGTGATGAAAGAGAAACCTGAATCGGATGTGCAAATCCCCACAGGTCTGCTTATACTTTTGGCCATGTAGCTTGATTGGCAGTTCATCAATGTCAAGATTAGGGATGTGCAAGACTATTCGACTAGTCGATTAAACGATACTGCTGCAGCCAGTCGACTTGGAAATACTAGTCGTCATTTAACTTTTTTTCTTTATATTTTTACAAAAGCTACGTTTAAATTACTGTAATGTTAATTTTACATTTTAAAAGTAATATATTATTTTGGAGCGAAAAACAAAATAATTTAACCTCAGATTTTGCATGCGTTGGTTTTCTTTGTCACTCACGGTGGGTTCAAAGAAACGTCCACTCGGAAGATGAGCAAGTTGAGGAAGTATTTTAAAAGCCTACACAACTTTTCCATTTTCTTCTATGTCATGTCAAACTAGTATATAGCAATAAAGCTTGCCTTATAGCCTTGATATACTACCCATTATGGGACAATATGATATGAAATTTTATATCGGATTAAAGGACAAACATTATGAATGAAACTTACTTGACACTTGAACAGTTGCTATATCAGCATACTAACAAAGAAAATACGGTTAAATAATGTAGCTGTCAGTACACGGCAAGTTTTTCTTGCTATTTTGCAGCTCGTCATGATACTTTTCATACACAAGAAGTGTGTTCATACCCGGACAAGCAAGTGGTTGCCGTGGTAACGAACAACAGTACCTTAACGCAGTGGTTCTCAAAGTGGGGTCCGCGGACCCCTGGTGGTCCGTGAACTATAGCCAGGGGGTCCGCGAAATAATTTATAACAGCCTACCGTTTTTCCCCGACTATAAGTCATCTTTTCTTTAGCATCTGAAAACTTGCTATTTATTCCAAAGTGACTTATATAATGCATTTAATGTCAAATAATAAAAAAGTAGGCTCTTAAAGGTTTCTATAGATAGATAATCTATCTATATTTCTTATGTCTGTGCGTCAAGTATTCGCTGTGTTTTGGTCGATTTTTGGGCACGTGCGCCAGAAAGGAGACAGAGACGGCAGAACGCGCATCCTGTTGTGTTCTTTATTTTTAAAAGGCATGGCATTTTGTAGTCATTTTTAATTATACACAAATAAAAAATAGACACTTTGCCATTTTGAATGATGTACTCTTATCTGTATGACCATAAATAAGAGTATTCCTTTGTTTCCACTGCTGAGGAAAAATCCAAGTGTTCGCGCCGGCGTCTCGTGTGCGCGCACTATGTCAGTTCTAGCACTGCTAATTTGACATCAAAACCTGTTCATTATCAAAATAAAATAATCACCGAACTTATAAAAAGTTCTGCTTAATTTAATTTGTCTGTTGTACACTATGAAGGCAGTGACGGTCAATCATATACAGTCGACTTGCTGTTGTTCCAATCTCATTTCTCCAAATGTGAAGATGCTGATACTTGTAGGCCTATATTGGGACTGAAGCATGAAGCTTTCTTTACATAAATAGTTAAGCATCCAAATGTTAGGCTACATCGCAAATATGGAAACTTTGGACCGAATGAGAGATGCACGAGCCCAACGTCTGCAGTTTCAGTTTCGATTCAACTTAATTAGTTTAGACTTGATGTTTTAAATAAATGTTGTCTGTATACTATTATTATTATTATTTGTATTATTATCTATTAATATTATTATTTTTCATTCTCGTTTTGTTCTGAATACCATTAATTTAAGGATTTGCTGTGGATCGTGAGGGGAAGTAGGCCTACTACGCCTCAAGAACGCAACAAAGTATTACACACTCAGGTGCAACTTATTTTCTGGAAAATACAGTAAATTATAAATTTGTGCATAGGGACAGGGTCGTATACCCACAATTGAGGTCCCTCAATTGAGGCCTCTGTAATTTTTCTATGTGTATAATGAAAGTTGTGAAATAATTGCCTAATATTAACTCTAATTAGTTGCTGCAAGGATGTTAAACATCGCGATGATAACTGACCTTCTCATCTGAGCGGTTTCAGCAGACTAACAGCGCTCGTCAATGTCAAAATGTTTGAGTCGGAGATTAAATCAAAGTAGGCGGGTTTATGTTCACAGAAGCTGCAAGCCGAGCGCGAATTTCCGCATGACGCTTCAGTTATTTGGTCATAAAGTGCGAGATAAGATGTAAATCGCTAAACTAAACAGCTGTTTTAGATAGAAGTTTTAAACGAACGACAGAAACAATCAGTTTGCAAAGTATCAACCGGGAAAGGAAATATACAACGCCACAACGTAAATCCCAGTTGTGCAAGTGGGTCATGTTGTCACGCGTTACAATGAATATGTTTTGAACTATGTTGTATAGCTGTGTGTTCGTTGTCAAACTCAAAAATTAGTTTATTTTTAATTATTTTAAAATGCCATTATTTTATATGAAAAAGTTAATAATTGTATTTTATTGAGAAAATATTTTTGTTTGTCTTGTATATTTGTTTGATTAGATCAGATAACATTTTAATCTGTCATATGGTCATG